TACTGAGAAATTGTTTTGATCACATATTATATGCATTTCGGTAGGTAGCGTTCTCCTGGCATCCGGCAAACCCAGATTTACCCATCGGACCACCAGATTCATCACTCCAGGGAACACGTTTCCACTGCTCCAGTGGTGGTGTGCTTTACACCACACCAGCCAACGCTTGGCATTGCACATAGTGATCTTAGGCTTGTGCGCAGCTGCCCGGCCACTGAAGGCCATTTCATTAAGCTTTAGACACAAGGTTCTTGTGCTGAAGTTACGCACAGTTGCAGTATGGAAATCTGTAGTGAGTGGACAGCACTCGAAGGTCACGGCCTTGTGGCTGAGCTGTTGTTTTTCCTAGATGCTTCTATTTGATAGTAATAGCACTTACAGTTGACTGGGGCAGATCTAACAGGGTGGATATTTCACGGACTGACTTGTGGCAAAGGTGATCCTAAGACAGTGCTAGTGAATGGCCCATTCTACTGTCAGTGTTTGTAAATGGAGACTGCTTGGCTATGTGCTTGATTTTATACACCTGTTAGCGATAGGTGTGGCTGAAACACGTGAACTCTATATAGGGTGTCTACATATTTTTCACTATATCACAGTTGTTTGCAGTCATTTTTCTGACAGTTTTCTTTAATTATTTAATTATTTTAGCCTTTGTTCATATTTGTCCATATTTTATTTGAATCATGAATTGATTTTATCACACCCTTTTATTTTTCTTTATCTTATTTACATACGGTTCAGTATGTATAGTTTATTCAGATTTCACTTTTTCAATATTCAACACTGCATCTTATGTAAAAGAGGTGCAACATAAATAAAGACTAATTATGATTCTACACATCTTGTTTTATGAAACCACGCTTCACACCAAATGGTCTAAATGTACACACTTGAACAACAAATGCATAAATTTCAACCCTAGCCATACAAAATACAGCACTTGTGTGCATATGAAGCAACCCTATTCAGAAGGCTCTTAAGAGCTGGGCAGACCACCGAATGTCCCCGCAGACCCATCACTCCACCTCTAAGAGCCTCCTAATTGGCTAGTGTGGGGGAGAGACTGAGCTTTGATGAGATGGACATTGACAGGTTTAAAACATGGTGAGGGTGGAAACACAAATGAAAATGGAAGCTGCACACAAAGAGGGAGGAACTACAGGAAAGGTGTGTGCATCATAGACAATGCAGTTAAGCAGACTGGAGAAAAAGCATGCTCTGTGTGTCCACCTCACTGTTCACTTTATGGGCTCTACCAACCTTACAGGTCCATTATACAGGTGTACATTTTCTTTAGCCCACCTGTTGTCAGCCCTCCCCTAGCCTGATCAGCATGGGTCAGGTTCTGACCACAGAACCAGTGCTGACCAGATGTTATGTCGGTGGTGGACCATTCTCAGCATAGCAGTGACATGAACTGGCACATCAGTGTCACTGCTCAGTTGAGAGTGGTCTACCACGTCAAAATTTATCCAGCCCAGAGCAGCTCAATGGTCAGAAACTGACAATCAATGAATGGCCAGAGGATGACTAAAGCTCTATTTGGGCGGTTAGTTTTACATGTGGAGGTGTACACTTCAGTAGAAATTACAGCGCCTTCTGTAAAGCAGGCCTTAAAAATAACTTATATACTCAGCTTATATTAATCCTGTGTGAATCGACATGTTGATAAAAATGCTATCATATCCTGTGGAAAAGGAGTTTCTTAAGTTTGGAGGCTCGAAGAAGCGTTTGCTTGTGTTTTCTCACAAAGTGACTGGTGTTGGAGCAAAACCCCAAATTGTCTTAAGCATTTACTTAAGACAGAGTAAACAAAATAATGGCTAAATTTAAATGTTTTAACATCTTTTCTACTCTTTTCTGGAGTAAAGGCGGTGCATAAATCGAGTAGCCACTCCCATTTCTGTCATTTATACTGAGATTTCTTATCCCGTACTAATCGCTCATAAACATTACAGATGTCCCGTAATTAACTGACAAAACCCCCAAGAAAATCCTTTCCAAATGGGGCTTAAGACAAATTATGTATCAATCATAGAAGAATCAATCATTTTCTAGGCCTTCTAGACACAGTGAGTGTCTGTAATTTTTAGTTCATTTTTATTCAACAGAATCATGCTTCTATTTACACTGTGCAAGTATTACAGTACTACTCTTGTTTCATTGTTAAGTTTTGGATGGAAACAAATGGATTACACTTTTTTCCAACCAGCAGAAAACTGGCCAATCAGGAATCAGGAATCGTTTTTCGCCATGATATTCAGGTACATATAGCAAAGCGAATTCTCCTATTGGTTAGGACTTCAGGAGCTGAAAAGAAGGCCTAACCTGTTAGATCAACCATCAGCATAACTACGAAGGGACAGAGGAATCAATCACATTTTACTTCTAACAGGCAGGACTAATTTTGTGAGAAAAAACATCACCTCTAGGCATTCTGGAAGTTCCAGATACGTCACTGCTTGTGAACATGAGTAGCAGCTTAATCAGCAGGTTGTAAAAAATGTAAAACAGCAGCGGCAGCTCTTTACCAGAACTCTCTACTAAAAGACTCACCGTAAAACTCCTACAAGGTAAAACATGCTAGTACATCTGTCACAAGAGTCAAGTAAAACACAGAATGTCTTTTAGAAGCTGTTTAATCTAGAACTGCCTTTGTTGAATTTTCCATCCCACCTTAAAAGCTGCAGTAGTTACACTCTGATGCCTAAGTGCACCAAAATGCACCATTTAAGGCTAACTACAAAGTAGGAGTGGTCGGTATGTAAATATATGAAATTGAGGGCAATCCTATCAATGGGCTAAAATTGGAAAGAATAACAACAAATCAAAGCACACAGTGCCATAGCTCAGCAAGTCTTTACTACACAAGGTGTACACAGTATCACTGTGCAGTCTCTTTGAAGGAAACTGCTATAGATGATCCTACCGAACACCACGCTACCCACACCATCCTGAATCAGATCAGTCATTCATCCCACACTGCACATATCCATTCTTCTTTTGTATGGACTATTATATCATACTGTAACCTCCTGTTATATAAAACTGCAAAAATGGACATGTTCAACACACTGACAGTACAGTTTCTACAGTCGCATGCAAAGGTTTGGTTTACTTTTAATGCAAGTCAATGAAACCAGACACTTTTCCAAGTCATTTTGGTCTGTTTGTCCATTCAATTCAAACACTGAGATGTAAACAAAGTCATCCAGAAGTTGTCTGATGTGAAATAATTCTTTGTCGGTAAATGTCCCAACTCAGATCTCTTTACAGCGGTGGTGATAGGAATCAGGGTTATGTCTACAACACAAATGTAGCCGTTTCACTTAACATCTAAAATCTCCAGTGTTATATATAATGTATGTGAAATGTTGTAAAACATTTTCTTTGGGGACTATTTTGCCTTATAGCACCCTGCACGTAGCTCCCCACCATAAAGTCACTTTTTTTCTTTTTCTTATAAAAAAAAGGTTTTTCAACCAAAATCTTCTCTCAAAACTATCGTTAGACTACGTCTGAGGCACGAGGCAGCGTATCCACAACCATTTCATGTAATAACTTTCTGTGAGGAAGCTTTTACAGGCTCTAAACTCTTCAGACATCTTTTCCTATTAACACCAGTGCAAACAACTCTGACTCAGTAAGTTTATTTATTCAGAACTCCTGTGGAATTCCCCTTTAATTCAGCCACATCCAGCCAAAAAAAACTGTAAAGGGAAGATTTCTCCATAATTATGTTTAAGATGTAAACAAAGTCATTCAGAGTAATTTGATGTGAAATGCTCGGTTCTAGAGAAAATGACTTGCTTGGAACGGTTCACAACAGTGATAATAATAATCAGACGTAAGAAGCATGTAATGCTTGCTCACTATGAGCTCACATAAAATGGTTACAAATATATTGTGGCTCCTAATGCAACAGTAGCAGTTTTGAGATAGGATTTTGTCCTGAAACAGACATTCCCAAAAAATATATTTTCTGATTTAGCACTTTTTACCATCACCAACATTACATACAAATATTCAGAAGACACCTGTAGGTTCACTGATAGTTTTGCATAGTAAATAAAACGGCTATATTTGTGTTACATAGTTTCACCACCAATGTGAAGAAATCTGAGTCTATAAGTTTCTCTACAATTAACCATTTTAAATAAAACTCTGAATGACACTGTTTACATCTTAATTATTGAATTATGAAGAAATTTAAAAAAATTAGTGGAATTCCCACTAAATCTTAAGTTATAAGGAGTGTGTTAGCCTGGACTGCTTTTTAAATGAGGCACAATACAGCATCCATTTGAAGCTTAGTTACTTAAAGGCACAGTAACAAAAACTGTTTAATTCTAAAGGATAAAGACAGGAGGGAAACTGGTCATGTAAACATGAATTATGACTGTTTTTGGTACATAAAATAACCCAAATTGCTGCTGTCAGAACAAAACCTCGTATCTCCAAAATGGTAATTTTACAGGAGAAGGTAAAAACATACTGTACTTTTAATGTAAGTCAACAGAACCAGAATATTTTCCAAATACTTTTGGGCTGTTTCTTTTGGTCCATTCATCGTGAAATTCACACACAATGTAAAGGGTAACAGGCATTTTCAAATTATGTCAAAAACTGAAAAATGGCAAAAATGGAGATGTGAGGTTTTGTTCCAAAGGCAGCAAAGTATTTCATTAGTGGACCTCAGGTCCAACAATAAAATGCAAGAAAAATGTAGGATATGGGCTGTTTAAGTGAAAACGAGAGCACATCCTCTACATGCCACACATTTTAATGCACAGTTGCTATTTGCTAAAAGTAACATTTTGAGGAAAAAAAAGTAAAACATAAAATGTAGCCTATAAAAACGTTTGGCACATTTAATGCTATGTTTTTTCCCCCAGTATGTGAAATTCATCAGATAAACAGAAATTGAAGAAAACTGTCTGACTGTATGTATATGTAGCAAACAGTGAAGATGCAGCAGTACATCTGAGCAAACTCACCTCACACCAAAGACATCTGGCTCTACCTCCTCTCTCTGTAACAGATGAACACCTGCAACAAGAACATACCACAGGCTATAAGAACTGAACAGGGAAGCAAGCTGTTCGAAGCTAGAGTGAGGATGTGCAGCTGGGCTATGTTAAAAAAAACAAAAAGAGACCACACATCCTGATTCCTGGTTAGTACTTCCCTCTGTAAACTACATGTATCAGGCATACAATGCTGTCAGTCAGGCACATGATCATACAGGAACACACACTGACTCAGGAACAACTGTGAAACAAATGTGATATTGTCTTGTTGATCTGTGTGCCAAACTAACCCTTAAATGACTAGTTACTTTGTCACTGTAATGATAATTCGTCACTATATTCTAACTGCTAGAGTCTAATGTGGCCCACACTCCTCACTCTCATAATGGATGAATCAGAAGCTTGCAGGTTGATAGGTTACATAGAAGTACATCATTACATAAGTATATGGATCACTCTACCAAATTAGTTTAAACTGCAGTCCCACAGTGAAAACTATATAAAAAAACAAGTAATTATTTATTTACAAGTATTACGACATGATCTATTTAAGCCCAAAGCATTAACTGAGATAGTAATCAAGCTACGTATATACAAATTTATCAGTTATAGTGTATTTTCTATTGCGAGATGTTTGTGCCAAACCCTAACCGCTAAATTTCAACTTGTGAAAATATATATATTTTTTTTATATAAAAGTTTAAAGATCTTTAGATTTCTTTTGAAGTGAACATAAAACATTCTGATGATCATGAGTTGATTGTTTTTATTAAAAAACTTCAAAAGTTGTGGTCTCACATTTTCATGTCACTACCAAAACACAAATTAACATGTTGGCACTGAGCAGGAAAAACCTTAAGCAGAAGCCCATGAGTTACTATCATCTACCACTGCGCTGGTTAGCTCAAGTGTTACTGTTTATAAGCTGATCTGAAGGAGAAGCCTCTGTTGCACAAGCCTTATCAGAGACGCCATAAAAGGACGTTTGCCTAGTGGTTTAATTCACAATGGCTTTAAACTTACCCTAGTCTATTTTTGAATAAAAAAGAAAGCATGTTTTCAAATCCTTTGGGCGCTGCTAGATGTTCCTGCTACTGATTTTTTTAGCCTGCTTGCACTAGTGCACCAGTTTAACCCTGGTTGTGTATTATAAGTAAGATATCGGTACGTTACCATCAGCTGAAGCTCTTTTTTTTCCCCGTTTTACCAAATAGTTTACCAGTTAACCAAATATATCTGTTCACTGACTTAGATACTTAAATACCAAAGTTAATTCTTAGTTATTTAACACATATTAAACAAAGATGTGACAAAAGAAGGCCCCACCAAACGCTGGTCAATAGCAAAATGTTCTGAAGGACTACCAATGAGCAGAAGTCGCTAAAAACTAGGCAACCTAAAGTAGCATCCTAAACAAACGTTCACAGCATTGTTTAAACATTTCCAGAATGCTCCCATAACGGCCTGCCTCACAAGCCTTAACAGCAGAACGATGCTCTAAACAGCAGTTAGAGGAGCATCAGCGGCTTTAGCTTGTCAAGTAGAGATTAATATCTCATGTTAAATGCCAGACCCAGGCCAATCTCTGTCAGCAGACATGCTGCTAAGTCATATAAAACACTTCCAGAAACATCAACCAGTCAACACAAGAGTCAATCTGCAAAAAGGCTCTGGCAAACATCCTACAGCCACTGTCCTTCAAAGAGACTCGTCCCAACAAAAGCAGGGGTCAGCCTTCTCCTCTGAGACAGCAGAGACTTCCTCTAAAAGCGTCTGCTTTCAGTGAGACGACTAAACAAACAGCACGGCTCAGAAATTATTCAGCAGCTTCTCCATCAGCTTTCCTTCGCCCAGCTTATGGCCCTGCTATTACAGAGAGGTCAATACACAGCAAGCAGGATTGTTTATTAATAAATGTAATTGATTACCTTACTAAGTATATATGCAATGCAAGTGTATTTAAATAGTATAGGAAAACAACTGTAATAACTCTGTGCTTACAAGTAACAAAGTTATTACTGTTTCAATACACTATCTGAATGTAATTACACTGCATATATACTTAGTTAGGTAATCAATTACATTTATATTCAAATTATATTCAGTATTATGTACTTTTGACTTTTTTTCCATGTTTGTTTCAAAGGCAAACAGCGGCACAAACACAGGATATAAAGGATGTTTTGTCTCTCGGAAAAACAGGACTGTCTACAGACTTTTCATCAAATTCAAATCGTAATAAAATATCTTGTACTTACAAACACCAGTCCAAGAATATGTACTTTTACCAGAATTTCTCTGCTAGATTCAATTCAACTTCATTGTTATTATGCTATACCCCGGATGACAGACAGTGACCCCGTTTACACCTGGTCACTTCATGTGACTAATAATTGGATTGCATCCCAATAAGATTTCAGCCACATGCATTTACACTTCCTCTCCGGTTAGTCAGACTGAAATCCGACTGCTGTGAGGGACAGAATATGCAAATTTGCTGATTATGCGCCAACCAACTATAAACTGTTTATCCGTCTAGCTTCTCTGTGTCAGTTGAACAGTAGTGTCTGTCCATATTGCTATTAAATTTTTTTTTTCTTCCGGTGAAAAAAACCATGTGAGTCCTCAATGATTCTTCCTTGAGTACATATTTCATGTGCACAGTGATGTACTGCATAGGGAGGAGTTTGGGTTGCACTGGGAGGGGATTTTGTTTGCTGAATGTATCTTGGAGAGATGGATGTGTTTACACTGCTACAACATGTGGCTCAAATGCATCTCAGACCACCTTCTGAAGTGGACTGAGTGCATCTTGTGTGTGTGTACACTTGTGTGTGTGTACACTTGTGTGTGTGTACACTTGGGTGCGTTTACACCTGGGTGCGTTTACACTTGCTTTTTTTTGTGGCTTGGCCTTATCTGGATATAATCCTGATCCTCAAGATAAAATGACCAGGAGTAAACAGGGTCAGTATGTATCCTAGGGCTACACCCAAATATCCATCTGTTTGGATATCTGCTTGAGTAGGTATCCAGTTTTTGATTGCAATAGCTAAAAACACAGCGTTCTGCTATACTCGGAAAACCCACTGCTCCACCCATATCCAGGCTCTTCAACATACAAGGCCTTGTACAAATGAACCTAAAACAGCCCAGCATAAATATTTCTTCTCTTCAAAACTACACTATTACAATGAGGCACGGTGATGCTGCAATATACTGTGTCAGCCCTTCTTTGTACTATATTTCTACTTTTATTTGCACTGTTAAAATGTGGAAATATATACCATCTCAGCTCGGGCGCCTGACATCCCGCCTCAAACAGTCCCGCCGCAGTACTGGACCCTTACTAGGGCTGCAATGTATGTCCTTCGCACCTTGAGTTTGACTACCTCCTTTAAGCACTGGTTAACACATCAGGTTTTACAGCAGAAAAAGCCGCAGGATGTGCTTTCAACACCGGTGCTGAATGCTGATTTTCGAACCAACTTTCTCTGGGGACAGCTCTAATGTATACTCAGAATAAGTACAAAAAAACAATAGACAATAGAATAAATAGACAGACAATAGACAATAAATACAGAATAAACTAGAGACTCTGCAGTGTACTGGTGCATAGACAGTGTGTATACGTATGTGCAAAATGTGTACATCGTGTGGGGCAATATTCAATGGTAGTCAACCCAAAACGTGCAAAATACGTGTGGCAATTTAGAGGTAGTGTTCAGTAAACAGCGGTATGAATGTTAGTTCAAGTGTTCAGTCCAAGTGTACATGAAGTCAGTCAGCAGTTCAGAATAACACTGAAAGTGCAATGTGCATGCAGTTCAAGTAGTGTTGTATTCATGATCTGGTGGGTGCTGTGGGTGTGAAGCTGCAACTGATAAATTAAAAAAACAAAACGCTCAATTTCTCTGTACCACTATGCATATTTCTATTGCTGCAGCTGCATTAAATTAAACTCAGAATGAGATCACAAAATTGGTCATAGGCGATATGCACCTTAAAATGTACAGTCAATCTAAAATCTTTAAGATAAACAGCCAAATCCAAAATGTATGCTGTCCCTTATACTTATGTTTCTAGTAGAACTGGCCTGAATAATCTGAATACTCAGGTAGACTATTATGTTGGAATTCGATTCTCTATTTAGTATTTTTTTCATGCTTTCCACGTGGCCATTGGAGCTAAAAGAACACAGATGAGTAAGAAATCATTGGAGTATTTTAAATGATCAGACAGTAAGATAAATGCTCAGTGTAAACATGACATTATAGGCTGGTATCTCATGGAGGCACAACAGGTCTGAGGAATTGTCTTAAATAAGTAAGCACAGTGATACTTAACTGAGTATGAATGGGCCCTGGTGAGGTCAATGCTAAAACCTCAGAGCCTCTAAACTGTTCATGGAGAGTTGTGGCAGTGGTCTAGGAGGGGAACACTGGCACCGCTGCCATCGTGGTCACTCTCAGGCAGACGCGAGTAGCGCAGGGTGACATTAACGTTACACAGTCTAGCTACTGACTCTTTAGACCGCATGACTGAGCTAAACCCGCCCTGTGACTGAGCTGAACTCGGCCTCAAAGTCACCCTCAGTGCTTCCATGGAGAAAAAGTGGCAAACTAGCTAAATAAAATTCAAGAAAAAAAAAAATCAAGAAAAACATAAAATTACTCAAGAACTGAAAACTCAAAAACAAATGACTCTTAAGTGGTAAAAGTCACTTAAAAGGGCAATATTTTTAAAGAGGAATTTCATGGACTCTAGCAAAGCACAACAGCTGGCGAGTCGATAGGCTTCAGCCGGACTGTTAATATGCTGTGGTCGCCTATCATAGCACACATTTGCTATCTATCATGGATATTTTGAACTACAGAACTACTGAACTACAGTAACAACGTTTTTTCTGCATCATCATACAAATCACTTCAAGCTAACTACGGAATCCACAACCAAAAAGAGGTGGACACTGCAACCGAATAGTGGTGCAAATCGGCAGCTATTAGCATCCCTATGGAG